AGGTGACCTTTATAGACAGGTGTCCTTTATTAGACAGCGTGACCTTATAGGGACAGGTGACCTTTACTTAGACAGGTGACCTTTATAGGACAGGTTGGACCTTTATACGACAGGTGACCTTTATAGACAGGTTGACTTTGATAGCAGGTGCAAACCTTTATAGGACAGGTGACCTTTATAGACAGGTGACCTTTCTATAAAGGTTGGTTTTACCAGCCTTGTCGTTCAGCTACTGTTATATAAAGGTGATTCAAAGGAAAACCCCCAATAAATTTTCAGGGGAGATGCCAACTCTGGGACCGTTCATACCTGTCTATACTTTGATTGCTTATACCTGTGATTGCTTCACTACACACCTGTGATTGATTCACTACACACCTGTGATTGCTTCACTACACACCTGTGATTGCTTCACTACATACCTGTGATTGCTTCATACCTGTGATTGCTACACTACATACCTGTGATTGCTTCATACCTGTGATTGCTACACTACATACCTGTGACTGCTATACTACATACCTGTGATTGCTACACTACATACCTGTGATTGCTACATACCTATGATTGCTTCATACCTGTGATTGCTACACTACATACCTGTGATTGCTTCATACCTGTGATGGCTTTATACCAGTGATTGTGTCACTACATACCTGTGATGGCTTTATACCTGTGATTGCTTCATACCTGTGATTGCTACATACCTGTGATTGCGATGGCTTCTGTCTCAGCCAGCAGGGCGGTGAACACCGTCTGTATTCGCTCCAGGTCGCTGCCCGGAGTCTGCGCCAGCCCGCAGAGCATGTGTACGAAGCAGCGCAGGTAGGAACAGTGCTTGCTGAGAGCTTCCCCACCGCTGCTGCTAGCACACTCACGGCCGAGTCCCGCTGCCTCCTTGAGTAACCTGTGAAGTTGGGGGAAGGGTTAGCTCGGTCCAGTAAACGGGTTACTTGGGAAGGAGGGGAGAGAGATGAGCCAGCAGGGAGGGGGGGGGGAGCTCAGCAGAGCAGATATAGGTTAGCTCGGTCCAGAGAGACCGGGTACAAGATTGCGTTGCGCAAAAGATGCGTTGTTCCCCGACCGCCGAGAGCGGTTAAGCCGCGCACTTCCGCGGGAGCTGGGTGCACGCGACCGCGGGGTGTTGCATGTAGCATCTCGCGCTGCCCGCTATACGAATTCGCGCGCCGAAGGAAAGCGGGCGCGCTAATCCGTATAGCATAATCCGTAACGTCACGCAGTTTTCGTCACACGTACACCGGCTCGGCTACGGCGGCCTAGGGAGGGGGGGGGCCTTTCCGATTATAGATTGACCCGCGTTTTGACATCCTCGCCGTCGTCCCGTCACCGGCCGTATTTGCGTACCTTATCTGGCGCATATTGTCACCTGCCGTGACTAACAATTGTCACCTAGTCACTTCATGCCCTTTACACGGTCTCCTCACCCTGCGTGTATTCGTTTGCTGTAGTATGCGCTAGATATCAATAAGGTATCTATTCTATATACATGCATGCATGCACACACACTGTTCTTAACTCCAGCCAACTGTGGCAGGGCGGCCTTTCCGATTATAGATTGACCCGCGTTTTGACATCCTCGCCATCGTCCCGTCACTTCTTTTTTTGCGTACCTTATCTGGCGCATATTG